GGAGGGGGGGGGGGCCGGAGCGCGTTCCGCAGCCGGGCAGCCGGGCGAGCTCCCTGGCTGCTCCCTGTCCGCTCCCTGCGCTCCCGCCCAACCATGTTTCTGCTGCTGGGGCTGTGCCTGGGGCTGCCCCTCTTCGTCCGGTCGCAGGAAGAGGGTCGGAGCCGGTTTGATGCCTCGGAGCAAGTAAGTGGGAGAGCTGCGGGGCGTCGGGGCGCTGTCCCTTGCCTCTGCCTCCCTGGGCCGCGTGGCTTCGGGACAGGAGGAAGGGAGGCTTCAGCCCCCTTTGCATCCTCACGCCCCCTTCAGCCTTCTGCATGCGAGTTTTCCCATGTGGAAACTCGTGGACCACTTCTGCGTGGTCCTCAGCGCCTGCCCTGAGTTCGAGGTTTCCGCAGCGTTGAGCCTGGAATTCAAAATTCCCTCAGTCAGGTGATCCTGTTGTCTGTCAGATTTCTCCTTGTTAGTTTCTGAAAGGGACTCAATCTCTTTCAGTTCGTTGCAACTACCCATCTTGATTAGTAGTGTGAGGCAATTAGCTCTTAGCCCTCATCCACGGAGAAGACCTAATAAAAAGTCCCGAACTCCTGGAAGCCTCGGCTTTTCCCAACTAAACACGACTTCCCTTTCTGTCCTTATCAAGCGTTAGTTTACAAGTGGCCCCAGTGGTCAAGTCAGCGTCAAGAACCAAAACAGCTTGGATGCTCTGTGACTTCTCAGGGCTGTGTTTTAGCCTGCCAGTGAATAAAACCTGCAAATGGGAGATTCTCAATTCAGTGTCTGACGACTGGAAAGGTTCTCTGAAGACTTTAAAACGGACGCATTAATAGCCTTGTAGAAGTGACTGTCACAGCTGAAGAGAACTTTGTTGTTAACAGATGTTATTTAGCTCAAAGCATGTTTTTGTGGAATGAGAGGAAGACAGGAGCAGGTTCCTAAGATGAGTAAAAATCCCAAGATACTTTTTGGTGGTATAGGAAAAGTGCAGGTTTTGGATCCAGGGAGAGGCTGGTCCCCACTCTACCACAGAGAGTTGTGTGGTCTGGGCACTCATTAGTTTTGGAATGCAGTTGCTCAGCACACTTCCCACCCCAAGACAGGCCGTTCTGTGTTGCTAGGGATGGCCTTGAACTTGTTATATAGCCCATGATGCCCTTGAACGCACCATCTTCCCATCTAAGTCTCCTGAATTGATGCTGGATTTGCTGGTCTGCTTGCAGTTTTCTTTTCAGCAAATTTGTAAGGATTCAGCGAGCTTCTGTTAAGGGCCTGGTATACAGTTGGCACTCAGTACATGGAAGTATTTAGTAAGTAATGCTTGACTGCCTGGATTTGAATCCTAATTTGCCACCAGCTCTGCCACCTTGGGTAGACGGCTGTATGTCTCAGCTTTTTGCTTGTAAAGTGTAGAAAAATAGTATGATTGTGAAGATTAAATGGATTCAGATAATGTGTGGTTCCAGTGGGGTTGGCCCTTCACATTAGCTATTGCTTGCCAGCTCTGCCACCTTGGGTAGACGGCAGTATGTCTCAGCTTTTTGCTTGTAAAGTGTAGAAAAACAGTATGATTGTGAAGATTAAATGGGTTCAGATAATGTGTGGTTCCAGTGGGGTTGGCCCTTCACATTAGCTATTGCTGGTAGGCTCCTACAGTGGGATTGCTGAGTGAAGGAATTTAGGGCAAAGATCTTGAAACTTTGGGCGGGGCGG